CGGGCGGCACCGGTGGGTGCGTGCGTTGGCGGCACCCGCCGTCCTGCTCGCCACTGTGGTACTGACCCCGCCCATGAGGATCACCAGTCTCGCGCGCCGAGGATGTGCTGCGGGAGTGCTGGGCAAGCGTTCCGGTGTCTGTCTCGACGCCGCATGCCAGCTCTTGCGCGGTGCGTGATCCGCGGCTGCTCACACTCGCTCGTCTCGCGCGCGCGCTGCTTCTGCCTGCCTGGCTCGGCCTCTTGTCCCACCGCGTCTCTCCGTCTAGGCGACCACCTGTGCTGCGTGTGCGTGACTGACTCCATGCTGCCGCCGTCTTCATCCATAGCAATGTCTCACGCGCTCCTCCCGCTTTGCTCACGCGCTTGTCTCGCTTTGCTCACACGCTCCTCACCCGGCCGCAGCACAGCCGCTGTTGTATCCCCCCGCTTATTCACGCACGCCTTCTGCGCCTCATCGCGGAGCCTGTCACAAACATCTACGCGCGGCTCCTCTGCCACGCGCGACGTCGCTGCACAACGCTCATCGGGGCCCCGCATCCAACGTCATGATCGCGCGGCTGCCCCATCTCTTGCGCGCACCGCCCAGTCCCAACGGCGCCTGCCCGCCGTCACCCGATCACCCGACAGTCACCACCGTACGCTATGCCTAGATCCCCGCTCGGCAGGTCCCTTTATTCCTCGATATGTAAACTTGCTGTCGTGCGATTGTGCTGATGTCGAGAGGCGGCGCGGCGGTCAGCGGCACGAACTTTCAATTGACGAGGTGAGCGCGGACGTGGACTCGGACACCAGCGCTGATGCGAACGAGCGCGGAATGATCTTTCAGGTGCGCACGGCGTTCCTTGCTCCGGGCCTACGACGGACACGCAGTCTCAGACTGCACGTACCCACGCAAATATGCGGACGACTCAACAGCGCGTACCTTCGCAGACATCCGGACGACTCGCCGGTCGTATGTGCTGCTCATATGCCGCGTGAACGTTGCCGCCGCCGTCACCACCACCATCGATTGCTGCGGGTATGGTCCGCCAGCATGCATATAAGATCACAATCAGTCGCAAGCACGCCTCGGGAAGACGGGCACGAGTACATACCGTGTCCGCGACACATCTCGGGGCGACACCGCACGCCGTCACACACTTTTGGTTACAGTAAGCATCAGCATCGTGTCGCCTGGTGAGTACACGCGAGACGCACCGTGTAGGTAAGAGGCGGCGAGCCGGTCACCGGTGTGAACTTTCAATTGCCAAGGTGAGCGCGGATATGGACCTGGACACCGGCGCTGATGCGAATGAGCGCGTGGCCATCTAGGCGCATACGACGCTCCCGCTCCGGACCCAAGACAGACACGCAGTCTCACACAGCGCCTACTCACAGACATCCGGACGACTCACCGTTAGTATGCGCCGCTGACAGGCCTCACTGTTGCTGCCGCTTCCGCCATCGCAGCAATCGACTGCCGTTGGTGTACAGAACGTGGTCCGCCGGCATGCGCATCAAATATCCGAGTCAGTCGCGCACACATATCGGGAAGACGGGCATAGCAACTTACCACGTTTGCGACACATCGTGCGGTGACACTGCACGCCGTCAAATGCATTTTGGCTATGGTAAGGGTCAGCAATGCGGCGCCTGGCGAGTACATGCGAGACGCACCATGTGGGGTAGGCACCCGCTTGGACAGTGTGATCGGAGCGCAGCACGACAGCGGGCAAGCACGATGACAGCCGGGCGGACGGACACGAACGCGGGACCCAGGACGGATTAGACGGGGGCGAAACGCCACAGCTTGACGCCTTTATCCTCCGTCCATCTGCGCGCACGGGCCTGCTGGCGTGCAGCCGACGTGCCGTGCCCGTGCGTCCTTGTTCCCTCGCTCCTCCATGTCCGTTGCTCACGTCAGACCGTTCCTTTCGCGTTGCTTGACAGCCCACGGGCTCGGCGCCCGCTGCACAAGCGGAAGCGGACGTGTACGTGTTTTGATTCTCATCTCTCGTGTGCATTCTCCCGTTGCGCAGGCACGACACATCCGCGTTGCCAAGCCGGCCTCAAGCGAGCGCGCGCGCGGAGAGAAGTATTGTATTGCGCAGGCTTCCGATCCGACAGCCGTGACGCGTCGTCCCGTGCGCCCGTCCCGTGTGCCCGTCCTGCGACGCTGTCAAGGACGCCATGACGGATGCACAGTGGACGGCAGTCGCGCAGGATCGCCCTCCGCCAGCGTGCTGCGGGGCGGCGGATCGTAGTTTGTATCTCTCGATGCTCTAATGTCATATTCTTATGTCGTATATCCTGCTCGCGAAGCACCCGCGCATCCGACTCGGATGACAGCTATAGGATGACAGCCGCGGTGCGTAAGGATGGCAGCGGTGATAGGCGGTCCTTCAACGGAGATGACCCGTACGGGCCCCGACGGCAACGCAGGGCAGAGACCAACAGCGCAACGTTGGCTGCGACCGGCCGATGCAAGACAAAACAATTCAGAGACCACATGTATGGGTGTTCGCACACTGTGTACTGAGGGCCAAACAAGAATGTTGTTCCGGCGGTGAGGAACAATGTGATGCAGAATTCGGAATGCAGCGCGGCTGCTCTTACGAGAAAGCACTGCTTTTGACGGCTGCATGATCCGGTCGCATGTGTCATTCACTTTCTCGCTGCATGATTGCTGACAATGCTGAATGCTTCTGCGACCACAGTGCGTAAGGATAGCAGTGGTGATATGCAGCCCTCAACGGAGATGGCCTGCAAACACACGGTCAGCCTCCCGCAGGTGGCCCTACTAAATTCGAATGAGAGATCCTGCGCAATCTGGAGCGAGTTGAGGTACCCACCGCTGGGTTATGCANACAGCGCCTGGTGCTCGTGTGCAGCAAATGCAGTCAGGGTGTGCGCACAGTGTGCCATCTCCCTCAGCGAGCACCGCACCTCTGGCTTGTGCAGTGAGGTACTCTG